ACGGATCGCTTCCAATTCGCATATGAAGTTAGAGCGCCCCAACTAGCTGAGATGTCGTCGTCTTCAAAGGAGTCGCCTCTGAACATCAAATGTGATATTTTCTCTGTCAACGGCCAGGCTGTAAATGACGATTCTGCACTCTAGCTGTTTTTCCCCGTATTTTTAGCATCGGTATTGCTTGCCTGTAGAGCGATGTGAACTTTGGACTTGTCGAAGAGTAGCCTCGGTTCGAAAGACAGCATCGTCTTTCTCATACGTCTGCAACATTTTCCAGTCTAGTGATTTTTATCTCAATTTTTCCTAATATAAGTGGTCGGTCGTAGCCTCTGTCTCAGCTGAGCTGTCACAACGACCTCAGAGATTCGCGTTGGTAGTGTATGACGGGATTGGAGTATATGTCCGCTTTCCTCAACTGAGGTCAGAAGTTTCCTCACTAATTGTAGGGGTTTATATACGAGTTTGGGTATGTAGACTGAAACCAACGAGAATTTTCCAAAATTTCCGCAAAGTTCATGTGCATATTTTCCTACTTTGATGTATAAAGTTGATTTGCAGTACTTTATGTTGATTCAAGGCTATGGAGTGTCCGAGGTGGCTTGTCGCTGGCGGGGGAATGCCTTCCGTCGAGAAGCAGTGAGATTTGTGCTACAGTCTAAATTTAAACAGCTGCGAGATAAGGACACTACCAGAGTGCCCTACTATCTCAAGAGGACCAATAGCGGCAATTTACCTGTCTACACCGACTTTCGAGGGGGCAAGCCTTACACTGTAGTGACGCATATACGTGGCAGCATGGAAGTAATCATGGGAAGGAAATCTCTTATAGAACGCGCGCGTTGAATATATGAAGTCTGTGTGCTAGTCGGGACCCATGGTCTCTGTACGGCGATTGTATTTTTCATTCAGTCCTTCGTGACGGATCTGCGTAGTGTACTGTTTGGTGAGCGAGAGGACCCTTCCCTGAAGAACTCCCATACAGAGCGACGCGTCTATTCAGCAGCTGATGGGCGACCACCAAAGCTCAAGAAGGAGCCTAAAGATCCGAACAAAGAAGTGATAGTATTCGGGAACAAGATACGGGTATTGGGACTGAGGGAAAAGTCAATTAAACAATGGTTGATGGAACTTGGTTTCTGACATTCGTCGGGTCTGCTGCGTTAGTGAATACGATGGAAACAGACGTGAACGAGGTTCCTCTTGGAAATGAGTTGGACATCGCCAGCAAGGCATCAAGGATAAAAGCATAGAGTAGTCGAGTTCGAGGAACTGAGTCGAGTCAACATGCCAATTGCACATCTCTCGCGAACTCATCGCGTTCTTCCGAGTCTTCACCAAGGACACTGAGTTGGTCGAATTCAAATTTTCTGGTAACTGTTTGAGGATCCTTTATGGGCTACAACCGTCTCATGCTGTTTCAAGCCTAGACAACCTCATTGAGGCGGAATTACGGGGGAGTAGTATAAGCCAGTTGTCGATCGATCAAACCGATGTTCTAATGCTCTTTGGTAGCGTATCTCTGGCGCCCAGGAATATTCTTAGCGCTAGAGGATTGAGCGAGAATGCTCCACTCTTACCCTACAATGCGCCGGGGGACAGACAACGACACCTGGGGGATTCGAACTCCCATGGGCATGGCCCAACGGCTTAGCAGGCCGCCGTCTTAACCACTTGGCCAAATTATCTCATCTCTCATCGCTCAGCGATGAGTCTTTCATCCCTTTGTTCAGTGGGAATAAACGTTCTACACCAACTACAGAATTCATTAGGGGACAAGTGACGACACCTGGGAGATTCGATCAGGAATATCTCGAGTCAGAGTAGTGTTTTCAGTAGAGGCATTTGGTCTGTCGGGTTTGAGGGAACATAAGGTCTCATTATGATCAGTGCGTAGACCAACTTAAGGAGAGTAGTGCTCTTCAACGTGAGCGAGTTGAAGGCTAAAATTCTGAGGCTTCATTTTGAATCACTCGGCGAGCTGTTTGCAATACTAGTCGAGTCACTTCCAGGCGCTCATACTTGCTGAGTTATAACGACACGAAAAAACCGTATCTAGTGAAAAGTGCTGGTCGATCAAAAGCAGCCAAATGTGGAGCTCATCGAGATCAAAGACCTTATGTGCTACTGAGTAGGACATTGTTGCAGTGATAGAACGTTGACGAGGAAGTTGCAGACAGGTCCTGTCTGACAGGATAACCCAAACCGCATTCACAACGCCAAGCACCAAAGAGAGGGAAACAGTACTAATTAACATGAGCGAGAATGTGTCGACGATAGCAGTGATAGATGAGCTAAGGGATATGATAGTCGTCCAAGCTCTCCATCGCCCTCCTTGTGAATGATGGCCGTCTCGGCCTAGCAGTGGCGGGAGCTGATGAGCAGCTCAAGACACTTGCTGCTTCCAAGAGCGACGCTGATGATCTGGACAGTCGTGAATGCTGAAGAAAGCGGTACGTTATAGTTCGAAGAAGAAACTCCACCAACGTGACGTGGAACACCTACCCGTTCTGATAGATTCTTATGGGACCGCGCAGTGTTGAACATAGGGAGAATACTGCTACCGAACAACGCCGCGCCTTCCCTTGAAATAGCGGCCTGGCGAACGTTGTCCTGTATGCGTTTCACGAGATCTACACTCTCGGAGGGTTCTTGACAAGAGCCAAAATTCGTGTCTATTGACAAGGCGTAGGTGTCATCAGGTACTCCACGCACGACCGGTTCTGGTGATTCCGGAACTACTATGGCGGAATCTGGCAAACACCCGAGAGATTTGTATTTGACAATCCGGACATGCCGTAAGTCGAGACGATAGCCCTTAAAGCGGGATGTGATACTGTTCTGATTTGCGCGTTTACCATCAATCTTGATAAGAGTTGACTCATCGTCGTCATCATCATCAACAGATCCCTGGACTTGCAGCGCTGCAGGCAAAGGAGGTCCTTCTCTGCTCGCCAGGGTGATATCCGGTGGTGGAATCTTCGGTCGTTTGCAGGGTAGCGGCTGAAGCAAGGCAACAACAAGAGTAGTGTTGCCAGGCGCTGTAGTTCTCACAGATGGGGATCCCTGCAGCGTCCGATCGAAGTTGTCCAAAATAACGCGAGGGAGTCTGAAGCGATGATATTGAGGTTTTCACTCAAAACACGAAAGAATTACTTCATGGATTCCAACGACTCGCTTACAACAGCCTTTGGTCGTGGATCAGCCGTGCCGTTGCCCAAGTCGAAGAGACCGACCGACGGGTTCCTAAAAACAAGAATGTCCTCTATCCAACCGACGAGCGTGGCCACCCGTCCTTATTTTCGTCCGAATAAGTTGCCCTTGGAAAGTCATCAAATGGGCTGAGTGCCTCTGGAGCGAGGAGTTCTCCCATACTATACTGTGGTTGGATCGGCGGCGGCGCCGAAGGGTCGTCCTGCGATGCACAGTTGACCACAGAGTCAACGTCGGCCAAAGCGTCCACAGCCTCGTCAATGTATATCGCGCCTTCATCAGGCACTAGCTCTGCCGCCTCCACCGCGTGAACAGTGTACCATTGGCCGTTGACTAGTACAGGGGCGGAGCCCGTATCAACAGGATTATGATTATGCATCTGGACCGCTCGGAGACCAGCCTCGAGAGTATCGAGTCGCTGGGCTACAGTGGAGGTGACGACATCAGATTTGCCGAGGGTACTCTGGCGTTCTTCTGCCAGCTGCTGTTTTAGTATGCGGTTTCTCACATTAGCAGGGCCTAAGCGTCATTAGCAAGAATGTTGTAGCGATCGTGAAGTGGGGGATGAC